TTGAAAAAGACGTGATAGTGTAATTAGAAACTGAATTGGAAATTACCTTATTTTAATTTAGTCAGTCGTGAACTGAGGTGGGCCGGTCTAATGCTTCAAACTCCAGGGCTGAAAAGGAGTCCCACTCCGGCCCTGAAACACAGGATGTCCATTTTGGAGAAGCTGAAGAGTAGGTCACCGGCGGGTGTTCATGCTGGACCACAAGATCAATGCGGATATTTGTCTGTCACTGAGGTCTTTCAATGCACATATTGCGCTAACGCAACAAATGTTGTTCTAAACAGTTCTATTTGATAGCAAAAGTGGAAAAGCCTGAGTTCACTTACTCTAAAGGGGTTTTAAACCTTTATGAGTTTCTTTCCTCAGTTGAAGAATGTTGGAACACGGTAGCCACTGAGATCCACAGAGGTAAATGAATTATATGAAAGTGAAAGGCATTCTTAAAATTACATTACAGTACAACACATTGGTTAAACACAAGATTTACTACTGAAGTACTAAAGATTTTAGTACTTCCATTGACTCTTCATGGCAGTCTGATTGACAGGCGATCTGGTCAATCATAACGCAGATATTTTCTGCCCTTGTCGCTGTCCGCCATGTTGTCCAACAGGCGTTGTAGTAGAATGACATTGGCGATTAACATAAAAATGGTGAAAACGTGCTTGAAATGCACTCGCAAAGCAGACAGCAGGTACTCGAAAAAGCTAATCCTTTCCCGAAACCTAGAGAAGTATGGTTAAATTTGTGGGGATCTTTGTGTGGAGCTGGAAATGCGAGGACACATGACTGGTGATAATAATATAAATAATAATTCCTTAATTTTATATAGCGCTTTTGTAGGCACGTCTCCTCATTTACCACCATTGTGGAGCTGAGTTACTGTTCCCTTTCTATCAGTTTCTAGTCTTACCTTTCACATCAACAAGGCATTAGCGCCCACAGAACTGTCACTCACTAGATATTTTCTCTTTTTTGGACCATTCTCTGATGGTTGTGCGTGAAAATCCCAGTAGAACAGCAGTTTCTGAAATACTCAGACCAGCCCGTCTGGCACCAACAATCATGCCACATTCAAAGTCCCTTAAATCCTTTTTCTTCCCCATTCTGATGCTTGACCATGTTTGCATGCCTAAATGCATTGAGCTGCTGCCATGTGACTGGCTGGTTAGAAATTTGTGTTAACGAACAGTTGTTCAGGTGTACCTAATAAAGTGGCCGGTGAGCGTATGTTTATACACATTTTTTTATTAATAATATTTAAGATACAGATGAGAGAGCAGAGAAAGCTATTTCTCACTATTAAAGGACTTGTTTTGATATCCTTTGATATCCAGGGTCTTCGGGGGTGATTGACCCACTTATTAACGCTTGATCCCTCCAAAGCCCCTGTATTACGCACCCTTTAAATAACTGGTTTGGGGTCTAGGGTCAGAAACATCGTCAATGGATATTTGTGCATCCCTACTAAAAAAGCCAAATTACATGCCAGGACATGGCTGTTAATTTCAGAGGTTGTAATGAAATTATATAAAGCATACTCATTTATTCATTTTCTTTTCGGCGTAGTCCCTTTATTAATCAGGGGTCGCCACAGCGGAATGAACCGCCATGAAACATATGTTGGTTATATAATTTTATTAAATACTGCATCACATATTGAATGTCTCATTATTTAACATGCTATCACATACCCCAATTTTCTTTAATCTGTTGCTGCAGTGTGAACAGGCCTTTAAGGGGGAAATCACTGTTGGTTTTCTGTTTTCCACTGTTTTTCCACTGTTTAGGGAAAAAACTGAAAGGTTTAAGGTTTTTCTGCAAAGTTGCTGCTTTTTTATGGAAGCTTTACTTTTAGGAGTGTTCTGCATAGAGATGACGTGGATGCTGGTTTTAAAGGGGCATTTTCAGCTTTTGTAATCCAAAGAAAAGCGCATCGCTCTTGTGTGATCAAGTGTACTCCACGTCAAGCACGGTGTTGTTTTTCAGTCGACAATTGTCTTATCTCAGATTCGTTGCTATTGACTGATGTAGAACGGCGTGTTGCAAATCCGTTCGCTTGTTAGGGGGTTCATAAAAATGAGCTCTTTATAGTGAAGGCTTTGCACGCTTTAATTAAGGAGGGATGTTCGCTGGTGTGGGTGATACACAGATCTAATGAATTTCCCACAGATAAACCTCTTGTTTTCATGCAACCAAATGGACCGTGAACAGACGTTCCCGTGGGTGTTGCTCAACAGTAAATGCGCTTGTGTGTGTGTGTGTGTGTGTGTGTGTCAGTAATGCATCTATTAGTTTTAGTCACCCAAGCATTGTTGCGCAGTACACTCCTTTGAAACATATTTGTTGTCGCACAATGCTTGATGCACATTCATATTAATAAGCTGTTTTGCATGTAGTTGGTGCTTAAAAGACACATAATATTGCGTAACATTGTCAATCTGACTGCACAAACATTATTGGATGAGATCTGAATCGAATTGAGATGGGAGAAATGAATTAGATTTGTTCCATAATTCATTAATTTTGCAACATCATACTAATGTAATCCACATTTAAGTGATTCCAACTAAGTAGACACTTGTCTTTTGTAGATTAGTTTATTGCTGAATTGAATTTTTTTCCTAATTGATAGTTTTTGAACTGAAACAACACTGAATTTGAGGTTTGAGCTTAATACAGAATTTGAATTGGTTTCATTTTTTAAATGTCCATATTTTTCCTGTTTATTACCTTTAAGTTGATTTAAAATCTGCATTTTATAAGTAAACACAGATAATTGTATTGTTTATTTATTGTATATGGGTTGTTGATGTGACAAAAACGTAATGTAATTAGCACTGTCATCAAAACTGTCCTATTGTGTGACCGTCTCAGGCATAGTTCAGTAAATTACAGCTCTTATAAATTAAAAAGAAAGTCATTAATATTAAGTGAAATGAAGTAAATGGCGATCTTTTTTCACACAAACATTTCTAAAAACATAAGAAAATGCCACTAAAACCATGTCTTCTGCGTGACACTAAGTTTATGCTCGTTTTAACATATCCACAGAAAAGTGTAATTAGTTAAAGGATCCCATTCAAGTGACTGAAGCTCGCTGTTCATTTTTGGTCTCCGTATTTATGCATTCCACTTTTTTTAAAGCACTATTAAATTAAGTTTTGATGTTAATAATAAATAGCTCTATTTGAAAATAATTGTCCAACAATTGATAATGGGGGCCAGTCCTAATCGGTCTACCAAAATATTACAGAGGCAGTACCCCCACTCTGAGTCTCTGGGCATCATCATAGGACGCCCAGTCAACCTACCTACTCATTCCTTTTTCTCTTACTTCCACTCCCCTAGCATAAACTCCCCTTCATCCCCCTGTTCCCTTAACATCCCTTTTCATCCCTACATGGTTCATGCTGGTGAAAGTACATTTCATTTAGTAAAAGAATTAATAGTTTCCCTTTATATCTTCAAACGACATAAATATAACTTTTTTTTTCCTCAAAAATGTTTTTTTTACACAACATTGCCTATTTGTCAATTATCCAGTTAAAGTCAGAATTATTAACCCCTCTTGAATTATTTGAAGAAAAGTAAAACTGCTTTTATTTTAGCCAAAATAAAAATAAATAAGACTTTCCCCAGAGGGAAACAAATATTTTTTAGAAATAATGTAAAAAAAAAAAAAATTCTGCTCTGTTAAACTTAATTTGGGAAATATTTAAAAAAGAAACAAGAAATTCACAGGAGAGTGAATAATTTTGACTATTTCTATATTTCTATATTAATAAAGGTGACCTGAGTCAAAGTCCCCTCAAGGCAAGTCATTTCACTTGGTGGTCATCTTTGAAACACCTCTCGGGCAGTACGCTCGGGCATTCTGTTTGAATGGGAAAACATCAAATTCCCCAAAACTGTTTGGCACGCTTATGATTACATTACATATCTGAAATCACCAATACAATCAAGCAACAACTGTCTCATAAGTATCGTTTCTAAACATTTAAATCAAACAAAATTAGCAATTTTTCAGGGTGCCCAAGCCATATCTGTCAACATTGGGATGTGAAAATGGGGGATATGCCCACCATAATAAGGGATATTCCCCCCACCCAAAAAAATCCTCATATTACTAAATCTGTTCTTCTGAAGCCGTTTCATTGTTAATAAGCAGTTAAATGGTCAGTAATATGTTTTATTATTATTATTTACAAAAGAAAAAACGTCTGACAGTCACGCACCACTATATGACTGTTTTGAGGATTGCATGGGAGGGGTGACGGCACCTGTAATGAAAAGGAAAGAGAATCTCGCTGTTTTTATATTCATTTTAAAGTGTTTTCATGCCTAAATAATGCGAAAGCACAAAACAGACTCACATTTTAAGAGCAAGGGGCAGCCCCTGATGGTTCAGCGGTATGGGTTGCGTATAGGGAGGATTGGCTCTTTAATGTTTATTGCCACCTTTCATAGAAAGACCAAAAATACGAGAGAAATACAAGATCATGACATTAACCTAATTTATAGCCGTTTTGCACGTCATCCTCTGGATCATGCTTCGTCTGATCGCACTGGTCTTTTGAAATAATCCACTTGGTCTTGATAGTGAATCTCCTCCAGAAAGGACCGACTGAACCTCATGTTCATTTCATACAGATTACAAAACCCCAAAACTTTTGTTTCCACGTGCATTTGGTTCATTTGAAAGCACAGATTTGAAGCTTTATGTTGATACATTTCTTATGTCTGTGAAGCAAGTATTCGCTTGACCACCAAACTTTCATAAAAGCACAGGTCTGGTCAGAGTTTTTCCCCCATGGGAAACATGAGTCTATATCGATCGATGATTGGCTCCTGTACTGGTAGATGGGGCTTCATTCACCATATTGAGCTTTACACTTTTCCCTATTCAAAACTATATGGGTGACATGTCTTGTGTATTCTAGAGTCTTTGCTTGAGTGTTCTATTCACTGAATGAATCTGTTTCTTGTATTTATCCCAGGTATGACATGCCAGGCTCGTACTTCCTACACAGAGGACGAGGTTCTGTGGGGTCACCGATTCTATCCTGTCATTTCTCTGGAGGAGGGATTCTTCAAGGTTGACTATTCGCAGTTTCATGGCACTTTTGAGGTTCCCACACCACCGCACAGTGTTAAAGAACAGGAGGAGAGTCTGCTGCTGTCGTCCCCCCTGACAGCCCCCTCTCTGTGCCACAGCGCAGGTGGGGTTACAGAGGGCAGTGGCACACTGGAAGGTCTGGAGCTTCAAAGCGATGCAGAAACTGGCTCCATCAATATTGCAACCCCAATGCCAACCAACAAACTGCCTGCCAAACTTCAGAAGCTCACAGGACGGGAGGTCCCCATTCGGGATGGAATGCCCCGTAAGCTTCTGCGCATGAGCTCGGAAATCACCTACAACCTGGGCGACCTGCCCGTCAAACTCCAGCGAATCAGCTCAGCTCCGGGCGTGGCAGAAGAGAGGCTTCAGCCAATCAGTTCCATGCTGAGCCCCACAGAGGACAGACTGGCTCCCAAGCTGGGCTTAATAGGTGGAGCTGAAACTATCAGCCAATCAGTGACAGATCTGCCGCCAAAACTGCAGAGGTTGGCTGGCGGGGTCGGGGTGGGAGGAGTCGGAATCGGAGGACGAATGGATGGTCATCTGCCTCCCAAACTAAGAAAAATGAACTCTGAGAGGTTCACAGGCTTGAGTTTAAAATGACTTCTGCCCTCCTCTGAAACTGCAATTGAGTAAACGGGACAATCTATACTTATAGCAATTTATATATGGATTCAAATATTAGATTATTGCTAATCCTCTGCACAATCTGGCATGTTTTTACCACAAACAGCATGAAAGCAGAATTCATTTTCAACACACTACTTATGGATAATAGCTACCATACTAATACTATACACTATATAACAACAGTTCCATATATCTTCATTAGCCTATTAGCCAAACTTGTTTTGAGGGCTTGCCTATATAACGTATATCTTAAAATAGAATATCAATACAATTATCTGAATGCAATGTCACTGATAATCCAAGGTAACTAATCTGAAAAAGCCAACGGCTATAACCTGAGTTAGCCATTTGTCTTTGTTTAAGCTGTGGGTTGGTTATTTGCGGATCAAATTAAACAGCGAGAGATTAGTTACTGTGGTTTTCAGAGCTAAAGAATCCAACCCAGACTCATTCTGAAAACATTGTCCCGGGGACGTTTCTGGAGACCATGGAATACATCACGGGAGTTACGTATTTTTGCCGTTTTTGTTTTCGCAAATGCCACTGTGTGCGCTTTTTCGTATCTCAAATGTCTCTGGCAAGTGCCGATCACACCCGAGCTGTTCCCGCGTAAACCCACCAGAGGCCGCTGTCGACCAACTGAATTACTTAAATGATTGACTGGGCGACCAACCAATTTTACCGATTGACCGCCCACCCACTTCCTTTCCCTAAACCCAACTGACAGTTTACAAAAGCTGTCCAGAAAAAGAAAAGCCCTTAGTCTGATTGTTACCACATTTTCGGATTTTACCACATTCTCACCCTTTTGTTCACTTGTTTATTTTATTTTTTAAATTCAGTTTTTGTCTTACCTGATTTCTGGAACTGCTCTTCCCCAGACTCGAACCCGGTCGTCGTGGTCAACTCCTCTCTGCGACTCAAGTCCGCCGACCTACACAACGAGCTACCTGGTTGGGCGGGAAAGCCCTCCACATGGAGGTAAGCGGTCAGCCGGTAAGAACGCCGTCATACCACTCCATAGCGTTCGCTTAAAAAAATAAAATGCAGTACGTACGTACCTCCGGCTACATAATTCGCGGTCTCCAGAAACGTCCACGGGACTAAGTTTTCAGAATGAGCCTGCATTGACAGAATCACGCGCTGTGCATTTATGGAAATGTAACAAAATTTCAGACGAACTGACTCAGGTTCTGTTTTTGTTTTTTATCTATTGCATGATCTATCATTTCAGAGTCAAGCCAGATTATCTCACATCAAAGATTAAGCCTTAAATAATAGGAACCAAATGTAAAACACCAAACATTGTAAGCATTTAGTTTAGAAAGTGTTTTAAGAAGTGGCCACTTTTGAAAGATTTTCTGAGCTATTTGTGGAATAATGCGGTTTTCACATTTGGCTTCTAATACTTAACTGACCTTATATATAATGTTTTGTCGATGATTGTTTTCTGACGTTCTTTGTTTAAACTATTTTCCTGACCTGAATGACTTGAGTATTGTGATGAGTAGGATCGATTGAGTGGGGTTAAAGCTATGGAAGACAGAAATGAGCACAATGGATGTGTACATCTGTTTTAATATTCTTTATAGATAAGACTTTGTCAACATTGTTATGGCTTTGTTTAACTCTTGTGTTTGAAAACCGAAGCAATAAGATTATAAAATGCAGTGGAAACTACTGACTGGGAAAAATCTTGTACCTTATGTTACGTTAACGTTAAATGGTTTTACCGTTTTTTTTCTAATTGTTTCTCTCAATACATTCAATTCTACTTCTGACAAATATTAGAATGGCTGTTGGAGTGGTTTGTAATCCTGTAATAAATGTGTTGTGATGTGTAACAAGTCAATTAAAAAACAGTAAACACTGACGGATAAAGCTCCACCTGAAATCACAAAATAAGTCCAAAATGAATCAGAGCTATGAGTGCCTATTTTTGACACATATAAGCTCATTGGTATTGGTAGAGGTCTTCCCCGCAAATAAAGCAGGTTTGATCTGGTTTGACCCAGCTGTGTGGATGACTGGCAGCTTGCTGCCCGATGCTGCTCTTTGGTGGGGCTGGATTTCTTCAAATGCCCTGGGAGTTCTGTTCTATTTCCATGGACGAAATATACATTTTTCATGCAGAGAAGGCTAACTTGGAAATAAATGGCCTGATTTTAAAATCACTATGACAATTTGACAATCTTTATGATTTCTGGAATATTTTAGTATTTATTATCATATATAATTGCACATCATTATTAGGAGTTAAGCACCAAATGAACATGCCAACAAAAAATAAGCGGTACTAACGTTTTTTTTTTTTTTTTAATAACACAAATTTGATGAAGATCATTCTACAATGGACATGAGGTTATAACTCAATGCTTTATTCAAACAAAACTTTAAGAGCTTTTCCACTGCATGGTACGCCATGGTTCGGTTCAGTGCAGCTCACTTTTGGGGGCTTTTCCACTACGTTCTATATACCCCTTGCTTTTTTTAGTACCACCCCAGGTGAGATTCCAAGGCAGTCATATCATTGCCAAAATGTGTCGTAGAGTTGAAGTCAGAATTATTAGCCCCCCTGAATTATTATTATATGTGTTAAAAAAATATAATATATTTTGAACACATTTCTAAACATAATAGTTTTAATAACTCATTTCTAATAACTGATTTAATTGATCTTTACATAATATTTGACTAGATATTTTTCAAGACAGCTTTAAGTGACAATTAAAGGCTTATAAATAACTTGGTTAATTAAGGTAACTAGGCAGGTTAAGGTTATTAGGCAAGTTATTGTATGACGATGGTTTGTTCTATATGGTTTGACTATCGGAAAAACTTGCTTAAAGTGGCTAATAATTTTGACCTTAAAATGGTGTTTAAAAAATTCAAAACTGCTTTTATTCTTGCTAAAATAAAACAAATGACTTTCTCCAGAATAAAAAAATATTATCAGACATACTGTGAAAATGTCCTTGTTCTGTTAAACATCATTTAAGAAAAATTTTAAAAAGTAAAAAAAAAAAAAAATCAAAGGGGGGTGAATAATTCTGACTTGACAACTGTATATACGTTGCTGATCACCAATTGGTCCTAGTAAATCGTCATTACCAGAGTCACTACCGATGTTACTGGATTTGTCAAACATCTATTGTATGGTTGGTTCACATAACAAGAAAAAAGACAACTTAAATGGCAGCATTTTGAGCAGTAGAAGATGTAGATTTTTTTTTTTTTTAGTTAAGGAGCAGATCCAGAGAGAGCTGAACTGGTCAATCTGAAATTAAGGTTTTTAGAAAGTGCAGCAGTAAGGGTGGTGCAACTATTGTGATAATACCACCTAATTTAAGTGCCACAAAACTACAGTGGAAATGCAAACTGGGGCGAGCCAAATCGGTGAAAAAAGCAACCCAAATAAATTATTTATCAAACATGTTGTAAGTTTTCAGTGTTTTTTTGTTTTTTAAATAATGCGCAGATTATGACCAGTAATAACGTATGCGCTATTTAAACAGACATTTGATTTTCAAAGACAACTGATTTTTGATACGAACTGTGAATTTCGCTTAACAGGTTTTAGTACATCATTATAAATGGATGATCATGAAACATCCCACTTACTGTCCTAATATGAGCTTATGACTGGAAGTCTTTCACTTTTATCTTTACAGTATAAACACAAGCACCAATTTTACCCGAAAAAGAGTATTTCTGTAGTCTGGTTCTGCTGGTTTCAGACTGCCAACTTTACACTTTCCCACATCCCTATTGGGCCCAATTGTGTTTTACCGATGATGTGAACCATTAATTATATTAACCGTCAAATTTATATTAGCCTACTCTTTTAAAAATACCTTACTATTTTTTATTATTATTATTTAAGCCACAGATCAGTGTGAAGTATTTTCCACCATTTAAAGGCCAGACCCATATCTTGTTTTGATGCCCTTTAATACGGGGGTCAAATCACCAGCTGTAATTCACACTCTGGTCATGAGACTTAATCAATTCCTTGGATCATCCTGAGAACATCAATACCAATTATGCCATAATCCGCTGAACTTCCTGCACACTATTTTGAAAAACTCTTCCTCTGTTCTGATTTTCACCAAATTCTATGCTCTTCACACCCCGCTAGCGATATGGATTTTGTGTTGATAGATGAAATTGATTTCATTTACCACATCAATGAATCTGATGGCATGATGACAAAATGCATCCGAGGCTGTATCTCTACTGTACTTTGACAAATGCTGACACCAAATTTTATTTGTAATCATTCATTACTTTCATTATTGTCTCCCTAATGAGAATTTGCTCTTTGAGGAGTCAAAATTACTTCACAGAAGTTACATACACAACCTGACTAAAATCTTGTTGCCTACCCAAGTTTTAGGAGCAACATAAATAATAACTTGACTTCTAGTTGATCATTTAGTTTCAGAAATGGCTTATATGAAAGGCAAAGGCCTCTAGATTACACTTATTTTACAAAAATAGAATATGATCATGCCTTGATTGTTAATTATTTAATTAGGACAGTAAGGTCATCTGAAATGGCAAAGAAAGTGTTCTTGCAGGACTCTCAAAGTTCAACAAGGTAATTTGCATTCATCTTCAATGCCTCATCATTCATCTTACCCCAGACACACTCAATAATGTTCATGTCTGGTGACAGGGCAGGCCAATCCTTGGGCACCTTGACCTTGTTTGCTTTCAGGAACTTCAATGTGGAGGCTGATGTATAAGTGAATGTAACCCCAAACCATAATTTTTCCTTCAACAAACTTGACTAAGTCATTTCTATGAGAATCTTGGGTCCACGCAGGCTCCAATAGGTCTTCTGCAGTATTTGTAATGATTCATCTGAAAAAAATCTACCTTCTGCCACTTTTCCAAATTATCAACTAGAAGTCAAGTTATTATTTGTTGCTCTTACAACTGGGATCGACTACAAGACTTTTGTCAGGCAGTGTTCACACTAAATTAAAATCACTTTGGTCACAATGCCTAGTTACCGTTAATGACTACTCGTTATGTGTTATTTGTTTGTCTAAATCATCTCAAAATGTTTTTATTTCCTCACTGTTGCAGTTGGTTAAATTCTCATTGCTATTCTTAATTCCTCATTCATCTCTGTAGTGCTTGGCCCCTTCTAGCAACAACATTTCTTCTCTTATAATGCCTTTACTGGAGCTGTATCTTGCGATCAATCAATAACATGAGATCAACCAATAACAAACTACATCCATCCAATCAATTTCCATACATTTTTTTTATTTGTTTGTTTGTTTAAGAAGCAATGTCCATTTCATACTGACTTAAAGTCAGTTCTTCACATATTATCATTAACTTTCACTTATGTGGTTTTAAACCTTTGGACTATTTTAACGATCTAGGCGCAAAGTCTAAAGCACATGGCGCAAAAGCATTAAGAGCCTATTCAAAACCACTTTTTTCATTCTCTTAATAAGTTATGGGTGTGTTTTGAGCATAACATGCATTAAACCAATCAGAGTCTCATCTCCCATTACCTTTAAGAGTCAGTTGCATCGCACCACAGTGCATTTGCTTTTTACATGGTGGACTTTGTAAGTGAAAAAACTGAACGCTTTACTAGCGAGAAAACGGTTTAACAGAGCATCTGCAGTGCAAGGATAAAGAACGAACCTCCTCCATTCGGCTCCTTTAC